GCCAGCAAACCTACACAGTGAGACCCTTTTCAAAAAAACGAAAACAAGCAGACAAAAGAACTCAAACATGGAAACATGAGAACAGCCCAGGTATTTATTAAGAGAGAAACATGCAAGCAAACCGTGGTGGTTTCCAGACACTAGAATACCATGAAGCAATAAAAAAATTAAATAAAAAATAAATAGTAACAAAAAAAACAAGATTTCTGAAACTTTATGCTGTTTTTTAAAAGAGAGAGAGAGAGAGAGAGAGAGAGAGAGAAAGAAAAGAATTATGTGACATCCTACAAAAGACAAATGTAATTTATGAAGACAAAGCTGGGGGATTTGGGGGCTGAAGGATAAAGACCGGGTGTGAAGGGGCAAAAGAGAACTTGTCTGGGGTAACTTTTAAAAAGCTTATGTATCTTAGGGCTGAGGTATACCTGAGTACTGGCTATACAAAAGAGCCGCGTGCTTCTGTGTATTAAATCACAACTACAAAATGCCTCCTGCAAGGCACCAAAGAGCCCTTTCCAGGTCGGCAGGTCAGCAGACATTGTTCTCCTGGTTCTCAAGGTTTTCATGCCAAACTCCCAACAGTACCCACTCCTCAATCTCTGTATCACAGGTCTTCAGTCCTAAATGCCCCTGCTCCAATCCCAATGCACAGAACACATCTGCTGTGATGTGAACAAAACTTCTCAAAAGAACTTGTACTGGCTATAAATGAAAGCAGAGACTGACTGGCTGATTAGAATTTCAGCACTGCCAGATTGGAATGTTGCAGGTCCAGAAACTAATTACCTTACCTTGGGCTAAGTTCTGGTCCCGCCTTCCTTGACCCCCTACACACACACACACACACACACACACACACACACACTTTGTCCCCCTACACACCACACACACATACACACTTTGCCCCCGCTACACCACACACACACACACCTCTGTCAGAACTAGTATCTGTGACCTTTTAGAATCTATTGACTTAGCAGGCAACTAGCTGCTACCAATCCAAAGGCTCAGAATGTCAACAGATAGCTTTTGAGCCTATAGAAAAGACTCTCTCTTCTTGATAACCCGCCTCTCTGATGTATGCACCACGTAGTCTAAACTTACTTTGATATATGACGTTCTCTGTTCTGCAAAACTATAAAAACTTCATGAAACTCCTTCCACATTGGAACATGGAATTTGGAGCTACCAAATTCTGTACTCCCGGGTCAGGGTCATTCAAAATAACTCCAGAATAACTATCTCTTATTCCTTTAAAGATGAGAGTTTTGGCTTCTGTGTCACACCTGTCTTGGCACCCATCCTTCCCTTTTTGGTGGGTACCTACCTATTCCCTCTGCAAGACCCAACTCCAGTACCCATGCTTCAAGAAGCCCTCCCAGAAGCCCTCCATGGAGCCTACTGACATCGTCAATATTCAGGGCTCACATCCATCAAGGCTCCTTACACCTTTCCCTAAAGGAAGTGCTTTTCCACTGCTAGGTCTATGTGACACCCTCAAGAGGCCCGGCCACAGTTGAGAAAACATCTGAGGGCTAGGGATCCCACTGCTAAAGAGAAAAAACAGCTCATCAAGGCCCATTGGCAGCAACGAAGCAATATGGACACCAACAATCCGACCAGCTGGAGACCTCAAGAAAATGGGGCCCACGTGGCTGCAGACACAACAAGCTCCCTATGCTCCTTGGCTCCATACAGGTCCTTCCCCTCACTGTGGGACAATGCTACCTTCCTACCCAGAGGGCTGGCAGCTCTGTCCACCATCCTCTGAAGTCAAGTTCCCACCTACTCATTTAGCCTCTGTCCAGACAGGTTGGAGCACAAAGGCCAGAGTGTTGTAATGCCAGTTGTCTTCACAGAGCTAAAGGAATGAGAACACTCTAGACCAATGGGCAAGGATTCATCTGCATGTCACGTTCGTTGAACAACTAGTAAAGACAGCCCAAGTCAAGTCCACTGGGGCGTCTGTCAGCATGTGAATGAAGACAAGGTGTAATGAGCACATGCAATGGCGTGACTCTGCCTTCAAAAGGGGAGGAAACGCGGGACTGAAACAAGGACCTCACGGATGTATAGTGAACAGTGAGGTTTCCAGAAGCTGCAGGCATATGGGAGGCGGGGCATGGGCCAAGGGTGCAGAGCCTCTATTGGCAGGAGTAAATACGCTTTCACTGTCTGTGTGATTTGCTACATATCACAGGGACTAGCAGAAGCAATGTGTTTTTCACTTCAAAAATCACTAAAAGAATACATTTCAAATGTTCTCATCTCGAGAAATGATCGACACTTGAGGTGACAGACTGGACTAAGTATGCACAGCTGTAATTGTCAACTTGGGTTTTTTTAAGATTTTTAAAAAGAACAAAGACAAGTCTGCTACTCAACTTTAAGGCCCTGTTGTACATTAATAAGCCAAGCATTATCTTTTCATAAGCAAATTAATTAGTCTTTATATCTTATGTTCTTTTTTTAAAAGCCAACTTCGAATCTACGATAGATTACTAGTATGTTCACTTTTCTTCGCTCAAAAATTGCTTTTTTCATCAGGCGGTGGTGGCACACGCCTTTAATCCCAGCACTTGGGAGGCAGATGCAGGCGGATCTCTGTGAGTTCGAGACCAGCCTGGTCTACAAGAGCTAGTTCCAGGACAGGAACCAAAAAGCTACGGAGAAACCCTGTCNAAAAAAAAAAAAAAAAAAAAAAAGCTTTTTTCCTTTTTTAGAAAAAAAAATTCATAATCGTGCTCGGCGTGGTAGTGCATGCCTTCTGTCTCAAAAGAAAATCATAATCAAATTCTACCCCACCTTTGCATTCACAAACATTTCCCAAAACACGTGGATGGTGACAGTGTGTTGTAATGAACGCCATCTGGAGTGCCACCAACACGCACAAGGTAGAGAGGCACAACATGTGGCCCTGCTCAAGTACAATTCAATGGCTGGGACCTCCGTCCCCGGTAAGCTCAGGAGCAGATCTCCTCAGCAAGGCCTGAGCTCTTACAAGCACTGTACTGACAGGTGACAGCCCCTGGAAGAAATACCTGCCCTTGGAAAGTTACACATGGGAAGCTGACCAGCATAAACAGGTGACAAGGGGCAAACATTACTCTAGGCTAAACCCTCCTCAATTAAACTGGCCCATCGTGATACAGAGGCTTTCAGAGGCGGCACACACAAAACATCCATGAAAAGGAAATGCAATTAGGAGAACCTGCTGAAGACACCAGATTCTGACGGGGCCTGGCCAGAGCAGCCACTAAATTCTACTTAGGGACAGCTATGGCAATGACAAGGTGTGAGGAGAAAACAGAAACCTTTGCACCAGCAGAAACAAATGAGAGGCCATGAAAAGGGGACCAAGACAGAAAGCAGCTCTAACCGGGCCAACGACCACTGCGGAAAGCAGCTCTAACCAGGCCAACGACCACTGCGCTGTTTGCCACCCAAAGTTGCCTTCCATCCCCTCATCTAGGGCTCGGCCTGTCCTAAGCTAAGGGACACCAAAAACGGGAACTTTCCCAGAAAAGGGTTGCCCACGAGTTGACAGAAGTACAATTTGTTCAAACTATGTCCCTCCTTGGTCATATAACACATGCTCAGGGCTTGTTTTTTTTTGGGGGGGGGGGGGGGGGGGGGGGGAGATTTTTCGAGACAGGGTTTCTCCGTAGTTTTTGGTTCCTGTCCTGGAACTAGCTCTTGTAGACCAGGCTGGCCTCGAACTCAGAGATCCGCCTGCCTCTGCCTCCCGAGTGCTGGGATTAAAGGCGTGCGCCACCACCGCCCGGCACTCAGGGCTTGTTTTGTGTCTCTTTGACCTGTGTCCACTCTGCAGCACCAACAGACACTATTCTAGATGCTTCCACAGACAAAGTGACAGATTCTGAAGATAAGACAGAAAACAGGCAGTAGGGGAGAGTAAGCACCGGGGACTTGGTTTTTGTTTCTTAGGGACAGGAGCTCCAGCAGCAAACCACACTGACAAGCAGGAGTAACCAGACAGCTCCTACACTCTGTTCTTCAATATACCGTGGCCCCCACTAAAAGCCTGTCAGAGTTCCAGGGGACGGTGGCAAATGCCAAGAAAGCCGACAATTTACATTCTATCCCAAGCTGAAGATGTCTGATATCTTTAAGCCTCAGCTGCTAGGAATCTGACCTCTCTCAACTTTTCTGTTCTTCAGTAAATAACCAGCAATTAAGAGCAACCAGGAGAACTTAGCAGCGACCCCTGGAAGTCAGAGTCCAAGAGTCGAAATTGGTGTCAATAACACGCCAGGGACCCCGAAGCTCAAGATTAGGTTGGGGGGAAAGGGGCATCAGGGGTTAAGTGGGAAGTCCACCCTTCCAATCAGTCCACCCAAAGAAGCTGCTTCTGCCTAGAATGCCAGAGGACTGACTTCATGGAGGGTGTTGACGGGGAGCCACTTCATTTAAGAGCATGGGGGCAATGTCCTGCAGAGCTGGACCAAAGGCAGAAGGTAAATTATTCTTGCGTGGGGCAGGATCATCCAAGGTAACGACAATCTCCCTCATTTACTGCTTCAAGGGTCACTAGGAAACTTCCCCTGAGAAGGCTGCCCTTCAAAACGTCCTGGCTAAGAACACAGAGTCGATAAGAAGGCTTCAACGAAGCTCACGCAGCCAAACAGCTGGAGGCAACGGGATTCGAACACCGGTCCAACTAGGCGTCTGCGGCTCGGGGCGAGCGCCCTAGCACCGCCCCACTGCCCTGGAGACAGCCCGCACGCGCTCTCCCTGCACTCCCCTCATTTGCCCTCCACTAGTTCCCTCTTTTTCTTTCCTCTGCGGCAGGATAAAGCCAGCGACTGAACGTGGGCCGCAGGGCACTGCGACGTCCGCGCTCCGCCCGTCCGCGGATCCCTCCGCCGCCCCGAGCCTGCGCGCGGCCTCCCCACAGCACACCACGAGTGGTTTCCCGCGCCGCGCCGCGCCGCGCCCCACCCCCACCCCGTCGCGCCCCAACCCCCATCCCGGCTCACCTGCCGCCGGCGTCTCCATGGCAACGCCCCCACGGCGGAGGGGAAAAAAAAGCCTCGGGCTCTCCCCGGCTCCCTCCCGGGCCAAGCGAGAAGGCCGGACACCCTGAGGAAACTTCGCTCTTTATTTTTTAATTTTTTTAGGGAAAGAGCCGGAGAGGTTATGGCGAATCTGCGGCATCCAACATGGCGGATGGAGTCTTCGACCTCCTCCCCCACGGGGATCCGACGCCTGCGTAGCGACGTCCGCCACGGGGCACCGCCCTCGGCACCCAAGGCGCACTGCGCATGCTCGCGGCTGGCGGAGGCGCCCGCGTCCGCTCCCGGCGGCCCCCGCGGTGTTTTGAGCCACGCCCGGGAAGGGACGCGGTGATCCCGGAATGTGGGCGCGGGTGTTTGGAAATGTCCTGAATCCGCCAACGTGCTGCGACGGCCGCCGGGGACGAGCGGGCAGGCTGGTGCGCTTTTTCGTGCGCGCGCTAGCTTTTCTTGGGCTCAGTTCCCTAACTTGCACGTGGGATCGGCTGCAGCTTGCACCCGCGGTGTCGTCCCCGAGAAGCCCTGCCTAGGTGTGGCTGGCACCGGTTGGCTGGGCGTGCCGTCTCACTTGAGGGTGCAGCTCCCGCCAGATCTCCGGTTGGACGGGTGCAGGCCTCGCAACATCGTTTCCTTGGCCTCTTAGTGACCGCCTTTCCGTTTTCTCATATTAGGAGATTAGACCCCCCCTCCCCGCCCCTTCCGCAAACTGTAGGAAGTGTCTGTCCCAAATAACTTTAGTAGAATCTGTTCCTACTAACGTCGAAGTCGCTTATCTCTATCTTGGTCACCCCTTTAGCATTCCAAACTGGGAATGAGTTTAAATTGGCGAGTAAACATGTATATAATAGTAACAATCTCAGTTGTGCTAGCAAAGCTGGCTTTTTAGATATAATTTAATTTTAATTAAGCATTGTAAAGAAAATACTAATTTTAAAAAAATCAAAAGCGGGACGGAAATGACTGGAGGCTGAGAAACACTGACTTTTTACAGTGCCCCTGAAATATTGTTGTTTTCAGGAATAACTTTTCCGTGCTGTTGAACTTGAAATATTCACCAGACAGCCTTAGGCTCCTGCTTGTACCCTCAGAGGTCCAGGTCTTGTGTTGCTTACTCCCTCCCCACATCCAGGTTCTTCTGTTTACCTGTTTGCACCTCCCTCTCTGCCATGGACTGAGTTTGCTGAGCAGAGAGAGAGATGTAGCAAAGGCCCCTGGGTCTTTTAAATCTGTGTCTTTCCACCACAGGTTGCATTAGTAATACTGTTGAATGGACTCATTCTTTTTGTTCATCGCTTTTTTTCTAACCATTGAAGTGCCTTTGGGCACTGAGCGTTAGGGTGGCTAGTACGATATTCTGTTCTATCTTCTGTTAAGTACGTGTTCCAAAACATTTATCTCCTTTATATCATTGGACAGGTAAGAAAAGGACAGGTGTTCAGGAGGGTTATGTAGCATCCTGGGGTCACACAGCCAGCCTATGATGTGTGTGGACCCACCTCTCCATGCCCCTTGATTTTTGCACTTTACCATGTGACCTTCCAGAACGTGCCAGTTTACCCAATAGGCACGTTATGAGGAGAATCATGAAGTAGTTGCTTCACCCCTACTAAATTCTTCCTCCCAGGAGTCTGGGAGGTGGGGGAGACAGTGACGTCTTCATTTGAGAATGAATTGTCCAAATGTTGCACGGGTGTGCTTTCCTTTTTAGAACTACAAATATTTCCAATAACCTCTATGGGGAATCAATTTCTGTCTAAATGGGAGTTGTTCTGGTTGCTGCTGACAATATCGGTTTTCTGCTGGGCTGCCTTTCTTAAAGCAGCATTGAAATGTTATTTATGGATTAGCAGGTGGTTCGATTGCTCCTGAATGTAGTGACCAAAACAAGTTTGGAAATGAAGCAATTTAAAATAAATCTCAAAACTCAATTGCTTCAGAAGATGAAAGCCAAATTTTAAAAGGAAACCGGACTGCTGATGATAGTCTTTGGGGTTTGGCTCTAATTTTCTCCATTATTCTGTTCCCTAAGTGGCTGCAGCAGACCACGAGGAGAGATAGACAGATGGGCAGGCCAAGAGATCACCCGGCAGGTCGGCTGGTCCCTGGCAGGGAACCACACAGCGAGCAAGAGACAGACAGATAGGCACACCATGCAGAGTGAGGGTGGATATTTATTCAGTGGGTTATGGAAGGGAAGGGGGAAAGGAGAAGAGCAGAGAGGCAGGAGAAACAAAAGGGGGAAGGGGAGAAATAGGGAGAAGCACCTTTCAGAGGGAGATGGAAAAGGAAGGAACTCAGGCTGCAAGCAGGAAGGAAGATCTGCCTCAGTGGTCCTGGGAGGGAGTGGGCGTGGCTTGTCTCTTAAAGCGATGGAACAAACCATTCGTTACATTGGGGATCCAAACTCAGGGCCTCATGCTTATGCAAAGGCACTTGACTCACTCAGCCTTGTCCTCAGCCCTGACTGACATTTTAGTCTTTGCCTTTCTAGATGCCTTCGATTAAGAGAGAAACAGTCGTAGAATTACATGTAAATCACTGAGAAAGAATAGTGTCCTGCCTTACAGGGTAGCTCAGGAAGAAATTTGTGTCAAATCTATGGACATGAGATGGCATTTAGCTACATGGGAAATATAGTTGACTATTTGTGTCAAGTTAATAGTTATATTAATAGCTGTTAAATGTATTTGTATGAAAACACAGTTTATGAACATAATTTTATAAGGCACTGATTGAAAGTTTTGATAAAGGATACATATGACCTTAATCTATGGGTTTTGAGACACACAGCTATTAAAAGCCAAAGAGAGAAAGAAGAGTGTGGGAAGTAGAATGAGCAATTAAGAAAAGTGAGAGACCCTCCAAGAATGGGGGGTCCAATATTGGAAAACAGACTCTTGGTCTGTTTTACTTCATCTAGGGTAATTTTTGTTTGTGTTTTATATTTATTTACTTAGAGGAGGGCTATACCATTTGTGTATGTGGAGGAAGAGTAGACCATTTGAGGACATTTTCTCCTTCTACTGTGTGGGTTCTAGAACTCAAAGCTCAGATCATTAGGTTCACCAGCAAGCACCTTTACCAACTGAGGAATCCCACCAGGCTTGTTACTGGATTTTATAGAATAACAAAAACTTGACAGAGACTGAGGCATTCTCAGAGTGGTTAATTCTCTAAACTGTAATGGACTATACCCATGAAGGTCCCATATGCTCTCTATATGTCTCCTTGACCCAACCAGGCAGTTGATCACGGGCTGCTGTCAGTTAGGAGTGGTTGGAACCCTTCTCCGCCCACCTGATTCCATCTTTGACCTTGACTGTCTGCTAGCTGTTAGTCACTAGCCAGTGTTCCTGTCCTTCAATTTGGCAGTTGTCTCAAGTACTGTCAGTTATACTGAGCTCTCTTGTCTTTCATTTAAGCAGGCAGCTGTAGCTTTTCCATGGCAGGGAGTTAGCTCTATCCCGGCTAATAGATCTATCCTAGTCTTTCCTGGCTGTCTCATCTTTAGCTCCTTGTATTTAGCATGGTCTGCAGTCTCTGCTGAGGTGAGGACAGGCTTGCTAGTAGCCATCCTTATCATTCAGTCTGTTAGAATTGGCTGTTTTAGAAACAATGACATATGAAAAGGCAGCAGTGCCCCAGGTGTGTTTCTCAAGGGTTCGGAGTGGCCTGCTGTCACCAGCCCTGAGCCCTGTCTTTCCTCTTATCTAGCTAGGTTATCTCTTACCAGGACAGGCCCTCTTACCTTCAGGGCTCCAAACTGTCATTTTAACCCTTCATCTTCTTTTGTCTCCAACCTGTTCTCACTGCAACATGTGTGAGCATCATGGAGTTATCGCAATGGGCCCTTTGCCCTCGCTCCTTACAGAGCGCAACTCCTGTCTCAAGAACATTGGGAGAACTTGTCCCTGGATCTTGTTGACATAGTGATTGAGCTTGGTCTGAAGCAGACCCAATCAGCAAACACAAGCTTCTATTTAAATCCCGTTGGAACTGGGTGGAGTAGCACAAGCCTAGAATTCCAACTACTCAGGAGGCCGAGGCAATAGTATCAAATGTTCACTGCTATCTTGGGCAATGAAGCAAAACATCGTCTCAAAAGAAGAAAGAGAGGGAAAGTAGCTGGGTCTGTAGTTCAGTGGTCTAGCATTATCCTGGTAAGTTCCAGGCCCTGGATTCAATCCCCAATTCAAGAAAGCAGGAGTCACCTTGAAGGACTCTTCTAAGAATCTATCAGCCAGTGTCCCAGAGGCTGTGAATTGAATTCACCTGGGAAGAAGATAATCCTCTTTGGGGTCTAATAAGTGCACATCTGGAAAAGTACAAAAATGAGTTTTGCAGAGATAAAGGAGCAGACCAGAGGAACAGCAGTGCTTCTTACAGACTTAGGTACGCACGGGAGAAAGACAAGTTTCCTTGACTTGCCCAAAGCCTGGAGGAGCAGGTTACATCCCACTTGGTCGAAATAGGATCCTTTGACTGTAAATACTTAAGACTATGTGATCTATGAGGTTTTAACTTTTGTCTCATCAGTTATGTTTAATTAAGGGAATATGACACCACTTATAGTTGTAAATTTATTTTTGGAGCAAGTGGGCCATGGAAAGATATGGGGGTGGTGGAGGGGGTGTCCTGGATCCCAGCAATGAGGAAGGAATTAGGAAACTTCCCAGAGCCTGCAGGGATGCCAGGCCCACAGCAAAAAATTAGGTAAACACTCTCTGAAGAAAGGGATAGGAACCATTTATTTCAAGAGTGAAGCCAGTGGATAAGGAAAGGGGAAAGCAGCATGGTTGGACAGTTATTTTGTAATGTGCAAACAGCACTGCTTTAAGTGTCGGAGTAGAGAGCAGATGGGGGGACTTTATTGTGTAGTATCTGGGCTGTTGAATGAGCAATTCATGCCCCCATGGACATGAGCATGCAGCTATTGGAAAGATTTAGATGACCCATGTGGAGATGAATCGCCCATCCACCTCTCAAGGGCATATGTTAAAAATCACTCTCAGAGTGAATAGCAAGTTCCTTAAATTCTTATTCCAAGCACCGCTCAGCTCATTCAGATTTATGTAAATAAGCGAAAGCCACAAGTTCGACACCCTGATTGGGATTTGTTTGCCTCCCGTGTGTTGCCCTCACTGCCTTAAGTAATAAGACTGTCAGTCACGTGGCCAGGTAAGTCTACTCTTAGGCCCACACCGACCACCTCAAGTCTCTAGGAATCTCTTTAAGAAAGCTACAGGAAGATTGCTGTTGCCTCCTGAGAATACAATCTCAGCCAGGGCTGTTGAAGCACAAGTGTGCTCCAGCTTCTACCTGGGAACTCCTGGTTATTCTGCAGCCATTTCTACCCGACCAGAGCAGGAGCTCTTACCCAAAGGCCAACTGGGACTGGGGCTAGAGGCAAGTTGTCCAAGGTCTTCTGAGAAGTTCACTGGGAGACACTACTGTGCTGCCTTCCCAGGTGTTGCAATAAAAGCCATAATCTCTCAGGTGGTCATTTTTTATTACCATCTTTCAGCCAAACTGGTGGCACACAAAAAACATAGCAGATTGGTAATAAAAGCAACAGCTGAGCAACAGCTGAGCAGCAGGCAGGCCGAGCAGCAGACATGGCAAGCCATTCGATACATTGGCAGGCAGAGAAGTTGAACAGGTCAAGTGACCAGGGCAGGGAGAAGTACAGTTAGGGAAGTGAGCATAGAAAGTGAGGGCTGGGACCAAAGCAGGATAAAAAGCTATACTGAGCCAGAGGAGAGAAATCGCAGGCCATAGTCACCAGGAGAGTACCAAATTGCTGAGAGGTCTTTAGATCCAGTGATAAGATATCAGCCCTGTCCAAGAGCTATAAAACTGACCAGTGGTAAGGGCTGAGAAGTACTGGCCTCCTGGGCCTATACAATAGTTAGAACACTGGTTGGTGTCAAGTGCTGAGTCCTAGTTTCCAAGGCTTACACAAGAGCTGTAAGACTTGTATAACCAACAGTACTGAGGCCAGAGATCTGTCACACTAGAAAGTACCTTCTAGAGCTTCTCGGACTTGCCTCCTGCTGCAAAACATGTGAGGAAACCAAAGTCTGCACTTGAGCTTCTTGCCTACCCACCATTCCTATTTAAGTAAAGCAAAAGAACCCAAACTAGCAAGTTGTTAACAGATATAGGACATGTGCCAGACTCCAGACATGAATGGAAAATCAGGGCAAAAGAAACTGTGTGAAACGCTCTGCTATTGGTGAACTGTGTTTATAGGAAGCCCATGAATGTGTGTTCTAGGTGCCCAAGGACTCTGGAAATTCTAGGGGCAGCAGAGGTCTTCTAGAAGACTCGGAGTCAACTACTCCATTCTACTTAATTTATTTGTGCAACTCTCACACCACATAGAGCATGTGGAGCACTGGAGACCACTACTGTGTTGAGGGAGCGTTGTTACTGCCAAAGTGGGGAGACACGATTGGTATAAAATATCCAATCATGGTCATGTAAGCCAAAGATATGGGATGTTCTTCTGTATATGTGTTACATTTATTGGTTGATGAATAAATTTCATTTGGCCAATGGCTTAGCAGAGTAAAGCTAGGCGAGAAATCTAAAAGATGATACTGAGAGAGTATGAAGAGTGGAGAAGATGCCGTGTAACCGCTGAAGGAGTAACATGCCATGCCAGCAAGCTACAGCCTCGTGGCAATACACAGATAATAGAAATGGATTAATTTGTTAGAGCTAGCCTGTAGGAAGGCTAAGATATTGGCCAAACAATTGTAGCTGATAATAAGCCTCAGAGTAGTTATTTCATAAGCAGCTGCGGGAACTAGAGAGCAGAATCCAGTGGGTGGAGAGAAACCAGTCCAGTGGGACCAGGCAAGATGGAGAAAGGTTGTTGTAGAGGCCGCTTGTTTGTTGCGGGCTGCTCAGCCCTGAAATAATCACACAGAAACTGTACTGATTAAATCACTGCTTGCCCTGTTAGCTCTAGCTTCTTCTTAGCTCTTACATCTTAATTTAACCCATTTCTATTAATCTGTGTATCGCCACGTGGCTGTGGCTTAGTGGGTAAAGTTCTGTCCAGTGTCTGTCTCTGGTGGGGCTACATGGCTTCTCTTCACTCCACCTTCTTTCTCCCAGCATTCAGTATAGTTTTCCCCACCTAGTTCTACTCTGCTGTATCAACAGGCCA